CTAAAAAATAACAAGATCATGGTATTTGCAGGGAAATGGATGGCATTAGAGCAGATTATGCTAAGTGAAGTTAGCCAATCCCTAAAAAACAAATGCCGAATGTCTTCTCTGATATAAGGGAGGTGACTCAAAACAGAGTAGGGAGGAAGAGCATGAGAAGAAGATTACCACTAAACAGGGAAGAGACTGGGAGGGAATGGGAGGGAGAAGGGGAATTGCACGCAAGATGGAAGGAGACCCTCATCGTTATACAAAATACATATATGATGGTGTGAGGGGAAGGAAAAAAGAGAGAGAGAAAGAAATGTGTCACAGTAGATTGAGAGAGGTGTTGGGAGGGGAGAGGAAGGGAGGGGAGGGGGGATAGGAAGGGCAGCAGAATACAACAGACACTAGTATTGCTGTATGTATACACGTGGCTGTATAACAAATGTGATCCTGCAATCTGTACACGTGGAAAAATGAGAATTCATACCCCATTTGAATCAAATGTATGATATATCAAGATCATTGTAGTGTCTCAAGCAACTAATAAAAAATTAAAATTAAAAATAAATAAATAAAATAAATAGATAGATAAATAAATAAATAATAAATAAATAAATAAAAACTGTGGGCCTTTAAAGCAGCTATCACCTTGACTCTGCTACTTCACCCACTTCTTGGTACACTCTTCTCATTGTCTTAGTTTAAGTTTCTGCCCAAGATATGGTGACGTCACCTGTCATTCTTCATGCAGACAACCAAAGCTTTCCAGTTTTCTGGCATTTTCATCAACTAAGAATTTCTACATATACCTAGACTGAACTTGAGTTAACTCAGATGAAATCTTGACTTTAACCTTTGCATGCTAAGCAGGCCTCTTGCTCTGAGGCTTCTACCACATCTCCATGCATCCAATTCCTGATCCGCCAGAGCTGCAGTCATTGGGTCTCTCTTGTTTCCTCTGTGAAGTCCCCATACAAGCTGATGTATTCACATTGCATTGAATAACAGAGTAAGTGAAAGCTGGTCAGGCTCCTCTCACTCTGCATTTCTCCTGTAACTGACCTGCTGCTGAGTGAGGCCTGTCATTTCCCCCTATTGGTCTGTCCTTGTCCCAGCTACCTAGGAGAAATATGTCTATGACAAGAGGCAGTCAGCCATGGTGAAGAAGGAGGCCAACTGTTAGGACTTACTGTGCCCAGGCACTGCTGGGCGCTGTGGTGATAAGCTTCTACCCGCCTCGCAGCTGCATGAAACTCACCAATGCTGTGTGCTACCTACAGCCCTGCTGCCTGCTTCTGGACACCAATGTGGACAAAAGGCCACTTCATCGCGATTACAAGGCTGTCTGGTTCCAGCGGTGGAGATGATCACCCAATGTCTGGCTGTCATCATCTGGAAGCCCAGCCACTTAGACCACGGCTGCGTGTGGCAGGAGTACGGCATCAACACGAATGCCCACTGTCATGGTGGGGGACCATCTGGACACACACGTCTTCCTGGGTGTCACCTGTGCCTTGAAGACCATCCAGACCCTCACTGGAGTCTCCACGCTAGAGGATGTGAAGAATAATCAGGGAAGTGACTGCAAGTCTAAGAAGAATATGGTCCCTGACTTCTATTGTTGACAAATTATCTTTGGGTCAGGCATGTGAATTCCATTGGCGTTAGTGTGTGGTCACTGTGGGAAAAGGGCTGTGACCGAGTCCTAGTCAATGCCAGATGAAAAGGATCCTTCTGGGGGCTTCTGTGTAAGTAACCCTCTGTTCTGAGAAGGTTATTTTAGAAAGAGGTGCCTCCTCTTCCTAATCTGGATTTTGCTGTTGCTCAGGGGTGGAGGGTGGGGAGTCTGCTCCCAGCCTGAAAATGATGTCAATACACAGAATAAGGAAGAGCCAGGAGCAGATGGGAGAATATCTAGACTCATGTGGACAATATCCAGAGCTTGTTCTTTCTCTGTGTTTGTTGTTGTTGTTGTTGTTTGTTTGTTTTGTTTTGTTTTGTTTTTTGTTTTTTGTGATGGGAGTAAACATGTCAATGAGGGTTAAGTCAATGTTATTTTTTATTAGGTTTTATGCCTTGTTGTAACCAAATAAAAGCAACCACTGAAAATAACAAATTTCCCTGAAACCCCTTCTCCACCTACATTTGGCCTGCATCCAAGAGCATTCCAAATCTTTGAAAGCTGCTGAATCCCACTGGAGAGCGTAAGCCTCATTGGTTTCTAAGGGCTGACCACGGTGTGGTCAAGTTTATTTTGTTTTCAGAAATTGATAAAAATTTAATTACTGGACTAATGAACTTTGCTGTAGCAGAATGTGAGTTGCCACAACGTCGCAAAGGGCCTCAATTTTCTCCTCCACTCTTGCACAGTAACAGTCTGTTTTTCATGCACTGGGAAAGGCTACTCGTGGTTATTTTGTTTATTTTCTTTAAAAAAAATTTTAAAAAATCAGATTTCATCTTTTTTCTATGGTACACAAAGACTTTGTGACAAACAATTTCTAAGGTACTTACAAATGCCTCCCCTTTTGTTAGGTGCTATTTATATGTACCCTAGAAGTTATTTTCTGTTTGTTTCATGTGCCATGAAATCTGGTGTTTGCTGGACTATAAGTAACAACCCACCTCTCTGATCTGCTGAGGGCTGTCATCTAATTTCAGGAATTATCTAGGAGGTTGTGCCGCTTGCCTGGCTGGGAGTAAGAAGCAAGTTGTTTTAGAGATGATAAGCACAGACTTGTTACTCTAATATCTTACAAAGTTTGTGACTAGATAAGATGTAGTGAATTTCAGTATAGTTCCTTCGCTTTGAGGAAAGAAATTAATAGGTGTGTTGACACCAACCACGGAACAAGACCACACCGTGCAAAGTAGGTTTTGGCAATGGCAGGCACCCACTCTAAAATTGTCTACCATTCTGAATTTCATTTTTCTTCATTGTGTGCTTTCTTTGTTGCTTTCAACAAGTGAGTGTTCATAGAACATGTACAGTATTAATTCACCAGAGTCTAATAGATTCCTGCTGTTTCCATGGGAGAAACTGGAGCTTTTCTAGTCCAACATTTTCTCACATGACTCTATATTCTAAATTTCCAAGTGATTTATGAAATTCCTTCCTATAAATGCATCCTAACAGACATGAATATTTCCAAACATATTCTAATTAAAATTGTTTCAGCTTTTCTTTTTAATGCTATTCATGACTCCGGGTTTGGTATTGGAAGGGAGCCTTGGCCTGCTGCTCCTCCTTGCCACGTCTGCTTCATCTTGAAGATTAAGAACCATGACCTAAATGCAGTGTGTTATCTTGTTACTCCATGAGCTAGAGAAACACTGAATACTAAATATCAATTACTACTTCCCTAGAGCCTGAGAACCCCCGATCTATTTCCACCCCAGAAATGTGTTAGCATCCCCAAACACCTGCTTACAGGCTGGTAGCGAAATTAGTTTTTGTTCATAATGAGTCAAAAAGAAACTAGTCATAAATGTAACAAAGAAAGTGAATGTAAGAATCTGAAGGAAAACAAGTTTATTTTGTTTTCAGAAATCGATAAAAATGTAATTACTGGACTGGTGAACTTTACTGTAGCAGAATGTGAGTTGCTAAGAAGCATGGATTAACAACAGAAGCGATGTGTCCAATCATCAGCATCTGAGCCATCTCTGGAATCACAATTGAAGTCAGGGATACCAGTAGAAGTCAGGACAAAGGTGTCCAGATTAATATTCATCAGCAAATGGAAAATTCGGGTGGTCAGACATACTAAAATGAAAAATAAAAATGTGTGACATAGATTCAGTGACTCCATTTCTACAAAGGAAAAGAAGTGACACTAAGGAGCTCCATTATATTTTTGGGTGGTTGTAGAATCTGCCATATCTATTATCATGAATATAGCTTTAGGAAATGGTTTTATAGTTATAACTAACTATTCAAATTCTATTTCCTTCCTGAGAACAGAACACAAAAAACTCACAAAGATAAGAATTCACTCATATTCATCTTCTTTAGCTCTATCAGTCAATCTACCAAAGTAATCCTTTCTTATTTCATATTCTCAGTGAAAGCAGAAACAGATTGTACCACCTTTATTTACTTACATTGTGAAGGATAACACATCCATTTATGCCATGTTTAGTATAAGGACAAGTTCAGATACTGATCAATATGAAAGCTATTTAAGGTGTACAGTATATTGCTAGCCATCTCACTTCCATTTCACTAATTCATTAATTTTTTTGTTCACTGCCCATGACACATGACATGGTGCTAGATTCAGATATGGAAAGTATGTTGTTTGTAAGACAGACCTGCAAACCCCTAGAGGTCACCATATAATATTAACATCTCTATACATTAGTAACAATAGAACAGAAAATCATTACTTCTTGAAATACTTAATAGGTAACAAGAATTTCCAACTGCTTTTTACTGTCTCTTGATGTTATGTTCCTACTTCATCCTTCATTTATCTATATTGACAAAAAGATTAGTAATGATAACAATAAACCAGCCAATATTTAAGCACATGTAACCATGGATTATCTAATCCCCTTTCAAACACCACCACATTAATTTCTATTATGAATTAACATTCCCACAGGCAGAAGGAACATAATATATTCCTTGTTGACCATCACTTATAATGTATGTCCAATGCCAGATTCTAAAACCCTAATGCATCAAGAGGAATAAAGATTTTTTCATGACTATTAATCTCTTCAACAAGGGTGTTTTCTCTGCACATTCTTCCATTGTTGAATCTCTCTTCTCAAAACTACTTTATCCACTGAGTTGAGATGTCTACAATTTTAATTCACAGCCAAATATAATCCTCAATGGAAGCCTTTTGAAAGGCAAATACAGTGTCTGGTTTCTGATCAAAACTGTACTGAAAAGGAGGGAAAGACCTGAAATAACAACCAAAGGACACATGTCTACTAAAGTTACTTACAGCTTGAAAGGAAGATATCGAAAATTTCTGTTCAGGCCATCTAGGTCTTTCATGTCTTCTGCAGTCAACTCAAAATCAAAAACCTATCACACAGTAGAAAGTTTTTAGCCTATGTAGACTGCATATTGCAAATCTTGGAAATCCAATAAAATCATGTTGTTGCAGAAACATTTAAAATATCTAAGAAGTTTCCAAAAGTTACTAGACATCAAAAGAACACTCAAATGGTCTGTCAATATCAGGTGACAAATAGAGATCACTTTTGACATGTATGATATAGAAATGGTACAACTACAGACAAAAAGAAATTGCAAAAAGAAACTGAGCAAAATAAAGCTAATGTTATTCCAAGATTACAGTGTCATACATTTTTTAAAAACTCAGAAAACTCTAGAGGCCACTTTTTGAACTATGTAAGATAATTCAATGATTTTTCAAGGATACAGTTTATTTTCTATATTCCATCAATGGATGGATTAAAAACTTCAACAATGACTTTTGTTCAACATTTTTATGTCAATAACTGTTAAGGAACTAATAATACCCTGCTCAAAAAACAAAGGACCTAGCTCCAAGAATCACTTTGTCTAAATTTTAGGCATTTAAAACATGGAAATTTTCAAAAAGTGCTAACATACTGAAACAAAAGGATAATTAAATCTTTGGTAATTTCCTTAAAAATGACAAGAGAGTAAAATTTAACAATTGAGGAATTGGAGGAGTAGCATTCTCTGCATTCTTCTGTGAACTCTTCTGCACACTTGGAAATTCTTAAAATGAAAAGATACATTTTATTCAAATATTATCAAAATTATCACTCCTGTATGAATAAATGTAACAGAATTTACACAAATGCCTTCATGATAAGTTTGGTGCAATATGTTTAAAGACGAGCTAAATATTGGAAATTCATATCACAATCGTAGATTAGAATCTTTAAATTTCAAAACGTAGTTCCTTTCAAATTTATTAAGAGCTCCAATGAAATATAAAGCAAACAAAAACAATCTTCATCAACAATGATAAAGTGATTCTTTTCAATAGAAAAGTAGTCAGAAATGTAAATCCTCTTGTTGGGATATGTAGCTAGGCATTTAAAATTATGTGTGTATTTGAATTTTTATTTCATAATGTTAAAAAAACTGCAGTTGAATTAAATGTGGAATTTAAGAGTTGTAAAAGTTTTGTAAAGAAATATAATATAATACTGTTGAGTTCCCAATATAAGAAAAAACATGACATTCATCAACCACAAAATGAAGGCATAAAGACAAAAATAAGACAATGAATTCTCTTCATGAAAATATAGCAAAAGGAGCATGGAAGTCAAAGTGGAATTGGGGAGAACATATTTCAACAAATATATCAAAATCTGAAAAATATATCCAGAAAATATAAAAATGGTCAATTGTTTGCAAAAATGTTACCCCCAGTAATTCACATCTCCCAATATCCAAACTCTTTCTTAGGTGACATTGCAGCTTCTTTCACTAAGAGACCATGTATGTTTCCCTATCTCCAGAATATTGCCTGGTCTCTAACTAGGTGACCATTAGAACTTGGTGAAAGCAGCTATGTGCCCATTCTGAGGTGAGGCATGAGAAGGCTCTACAATGATCCATTCACTACCTGGGGACAGGGCTATGTGATGAGATGAAGCCTGAGTCATCAACTGGTGGATGTGAACTTCTATGGAGGGGAGCTCAGACACCCCAGAGAATAGAGCAAGCAGGACTGAAGCAGAATGAGCACACTGTCCTGGAAATGCATAGGAGAGTTCATTACAAAATCCAAGCAGCCAGGGTAGCTGAAAGACATTCACTGAGTTCAGGCTGAGCCAAGGCAAACAGGCAAATCATAGAATTATGAGGTAACAAAAGCTCTTTGTATTGACCTCAATATTGAGGGAGCTTTCTTTGCAACTACTCCAAGTAATGGTTTAATAAAATTCTCCTACTTGTAAATGAAAAGAAAAGCGAGCTATTCAATGAGCAACTCATAAACTGACAATCAACAGTGAAAAATTCAAATTTAATAAATATATGAATATTAAAATATATCAAGTATTTGGAGAAATGTAAGATAAAATTATAATTTATGGAATAAAAATCACCCATTCCAAATTCTCATTTCCGAATATTAAAAAAAAAAACGAAAAACAAAGATGTCACTTACACAGGTTTACATATGCATGGCTAGAAATACTGAAAACCTGTGCTTTATCCAATCCTAATTTATTTTGCTATACTTCCTGTTGCATTGTAGAGTAAGAAAACACACTTCTGAAAGCACCTGAAATCTTACATATGGAGGACATGCTGAGGATATTGACTTGGCACAAAAACATTCTTGGAGTATTCAAAGAAGCACACATGTAAAGGAGTCTGTGTAACAACCCCAGTGCCCACAGCCCTTCTCTATACCTGAATGTTCTCTTTGATTCTCTTCTCGTTGAGACTCTTGACCAGAACTACAACCCCACGCTGCAGCTGGTAGCGGAGGGCAATCAGGGCTGGGGATCGATTGTGTTTTTTTGCCAAGGCACCAAGAACTGGATCATCCAAGAGAACTGGAGAGCTCGGGTCAACCCTGGAAGGAAAGACAGGAGACTATGGCATCTTCCTCCCATACTCTCCTCAGATCTGTTGAGCCCACTCTAAACAGGGATCCTCAAATGCTGTCCCTGGACCAGCAGCATCAATGTCTTATGGGATCTTCCCAGAAATGTAAATGTTCTGCTCTTCCAGGGTCAGTTGAGAGTGACCTTTTGAACTCTGAGTCTTGTAGACTATAGATAGCTCATCATTAATGGTATTTGAGGTCAACTCCCTGAGGTTCTCATTACCAATCTTTGTATCGTTGAGTTCCAAGAGCACCATAGGCAACCAGAACAATGTCTTTGGATTTGCAGAAGTCCAGCAGTTTCCTCTGGTTGAGATAAACATGACATTCTACCTGTAGTGGACAAGATAGAAAGTATCTGATTCTAATAAACACTAATGTTAAGATGAATCCAAAATGTCAATGAAAAAGAAGCTGAATTTAAAAAATGGAAATTTGAGCCAAAATCAAGAGATATTCTCAAAGATTTATGAGGATAAGTTTGAAAGACCTTTGGTAGGCATTCTACAGGTGACATCTGGTTAAATTTGTTCATCAAAAAAATTGTGCTGTGAATGGATAATTATGAAGGTAATGCACTCCATTTATTATTATGTATATAAGAAATAAATAAATAAATAAGAACTAAAATAAAATAAAATAAAACAAAAAATACATTTAACAACAACAAAAACAAAAAACGCCAATAAAACCAGATTCCAGAATTTAGGAAGCTTAGAATTCCACCTAACCATAATCTGTAAGAACAAGTTCCAAATCGAACAAGTCAGTGTAGGAGAATGTTATAGTCTGAATTTAATCAATACAGGTTATAGGTTATAGGCTATAGATTAGAAATTACAGGTTAATAAAATATTAATTAGTAAAATAATAGGATTATAAGATAAGTGTTATAGAATTAGTAATGTTAAGTTACTCCAGTCTGCCATAGTTATAAGATTTTTAAAAAAGTAACAATACAACAATATAATCACCGTAAGACATAGGATTTAAGTTGCTAACAATAAGATATAGATAATGTAAGGTGATAAGTATAAGCTCAGAGGTCTAATATAGTTACAGATAGTTATAGATCAATATAGAGTTGGATATAGGTTACTAAAACAGTATTAAGTATAAGAAATAACTATAGACAAGTATAAGTAAGTAGGAACTCCATCTTCTTACTTCCCGTGAGGAACTTGTTACACAGGCCATTCTCAAGGTGTTTTGTTTTTTTTAATTATTTTGGGGTAGACCCATACACATGAGGATATAGACCCCCATAAAGGAGCATATGGTTTTCTGTTTTTGCTCTGCTAACTGCATTTACAGCCCCTTGTATTCTGCTTGCTTGCAATTTGCAAAATTCCATAGGAAAGTTCCTGGGGTATGATTTTCTTCTCTATTTTCTTCCTTAAATTCTTTGGTCACAAACAACTTGTGGCTGATGTTATTTCAGAGAGCTACTTGGTCTCTGACAAAAGCAGTCCTTGGTCAGGTAAAATTGGCAAAATAAAATTCTTTGATTTGTTTCAAATTTAGACTTTGTGTGTTTTCTGAGTTGTCTACCCATTAAAAGAAAATGACTCACAATTAAAAATCTCTCTCTGCAGAGCAAGAACATGCCCAATGGAGACTTGAAAATCTGAGGCAATGCTGTTGTCATCAAAAGCAAGAGGTGAACCTGAGCAAGATTCTGAAGTCTTCCATGTAACACCCGATAAAACTGGAAGGCAGGATGGGCATACCCTCCCTCTCTCCTCTCAGAGGATTCGCTCTGTCTCTTGAGAGTGTCCTCTTTTCCCCTTTCTTATACTTTCTAATAAACTCATGGCCTGCTACTCTGAGCGACATGTCTGAAATTGTACTAGCATGATGCAAAAAACAGTAACCAAGGACCACTCTGGCTGCCTTGGCTCCTCTGCAGGACCTTGAACTGTAAGAAGGCTAAATCCTAACTAATAGAAAATGGGAATGAATGTAAAAACATGTTACCGATATATATAATAAGACAGTTTGAAAAAGATCCTGGTTCAAAATGTCACATGGAAAAGCACTGGATGAACATTCTGTGTTAAAAGATCTTAAGAAACACGACAGAAAGCAACATGTGAACCACAGTTGTATCCAGAAAAACAGGAAGAACTATATACTATATTTCAGAAAAGCAATGGGAAATTTGAATACAGACTGGACATAGATGCTGTGAGAGACTTTGAATTCCTTTAGATAGAGTAATGGAATTGAGCTGATATGAGACAACATCTTCATTCCTAGGAGATGTTCTCTGAGGTCTCTAAAAGTGAATACGCTCTAGTCTACAACTTACTTTGAAGTGATGTAGAAACACATAAGTATGCAGATGTACCCACATAAATCAATATCTTGCAGTGAAACCAAAAGTCAACAATTTTAGATAAAGCATGGAAAATATGGATGCCCAGTATCATCCTCTAACTTTTTCTGTATATTTGAAAATATTCATGATAAAAAAATATTGGGATAAAACTAATACTAGTTTTTTCTCAATTTTTTAACACATATTTGAAATTTATCATGCTCTATCAACATATATGAAATTCATGATTTTTATAAGCTCTGTTTTCCAATCAAAGGCAATTACTCCAACAGTGAATGTGGTCAAAAAGTAAGTTAGAGCACAGAACTATGCACAGAATAGATGTGATTGCACAGTTGATTTTATATCTGAAAGCATCAGCATCAAGAAAAGCAAGTAAAAGGGGCTCAAGCACAAGACCAACTGTACAATCAGCTAAAAGTTCCTGAATGTGGATCTCATTCATCATCAGTTATCACCATAAGCAACTAACTTCCTCGAATCCTTTAACTTTCACAAGCCCTACTTTACTCTTTCCTGTTAAATGTTCCTCTGAGTCCAGAAAGCTGAAGGAAGAGATAACAAGGATGAAAGACCCTCCACACCAACCTGACCAGTGATCTCCTATTTTCTGTCTTTTCTTGCTCACTGCCCATTCCTATGTACTGGCCTTCTTTCCTACAAAAGATTCCCTCCGCAGAACATTCACCCATCCGGTCTCAGTCATCCTTCATTGCTCAAGGACAAGCTCACCTTGCCCCTGAAGTCTGATGAACAACCACTCTCCTCTTGGTCACCTTTAGATCACCTGATTTCCCCATAAACTGAGCACTAAGATCTTCCCCTCATTTTCACTAAGGAGGATTCACCCAGAAGAGACACCATTGAGACTTTTCCATACACTCCAGGACAGTGGCACTAGTCTTAGACTCTTCTGTTCCACAAAGGCAAATGAACTGGGGGACAGGACCAATGGACAGCTGGCAGTGATATAGAAAGAAAGAAGTGTTATAAGAGACAGCAGTGAGGCTCGGGGCTCTCACCTGGTTGCAGACAGGCTTATACTTGAGGCCTGGTTTATTCAGGATCATCTCCAGCTGCCTGCGGTTAAAGTTGGACACCCCGATGGACTTGGCCAATCCTGCGTCCTTGCACTTCTCCATGGCCTTGGGAGGAAGGGGTTGGGAAGAGGCATATGTACAGTCAACTATGTCACTATGAAGGCAAGACAGAACTGTTAAGAGGAGCACTGTCCAGGAATGACAACAAAGCTGATGAATTGATTGTGAAGAGGGGAAAATGGTAAAGATTATATGGGAAGGTGTTGAGAGCCAGTAAAAGAATTCCTGTGTCCTCTTTAATGCATCAGACATCACTGCATGTGGAGGCAGGAGCTGCACGTCCTCAGTGTCATTAGTTTCCCTCTGTCACATTCCAGTAATACGTTCCTTCCCACCATATAATAAACAAACAAACAAACAAAAAACTCTTTTAAACATAATGATTTCTAGACCCAAAATTTCAGGAGAAAGCATGACCTTAATGTCACCTGTGGGCTTCCTATGAGGCCAATCCTTCAGGAACTCACCTCCCATGTGGCACAGAGATCCACTGAGTCATATATTATTTTTCCATTTTCATCTTGTGGAAAAAGCTCTTCCCCTGGCTGCAATAGAAGTGATCACCACAGCAATCTTACTGAATTCCACACACAGCAAGGCTACTAGATATATCTAGGGGATGGGTCACTAAACCTTCCTGAAATACATGGAGCAGTACTCTATATTCATCTATTTAAAAGCTATTTAAATGTGGAGGTGTAAGGAATACCTTTATATGCTTAGCTTCCTGAATTATTTTACTTGAAATTTTCTGTATGTTCAATTATAAATATGTGTGTGTATATATAAATATATATGTGTAATTGTGTGTGTGTGTGTGTGTGTAATTTAATAAGATTTTTTTCAGTCATCTTAATGGGGTCTCCTAGTTGGATTATGTTACTTTTCTTTTCCCTACACATGGCCCTGGGGAAAGGCCTGTCTTTCACTGGGAAAGTCCATAGACACATGGGATTGATCTCCAGAAATAATGGATTTCAGAGATGACACAGGTTAAACAGTATTCCTCATCTACCTGGACACATGTGGGTCCAAGAATATGTAGAGGTACCTAAGATGGTTTCAAGTTTCTATTTAAGATTGGTTTGATGCTGGAAGAGGAAGAGACTCTATCAAATACTAATGACCATGAAATCTGAATTGCCCCAAAGTCCCATTGACAACCAGTGGAAAAGGCGAGGACAAAACCCAGGCAAACCTCTAGTAACACAGACATAATGGATGAATAAACACGGAGGTTTCTGCAGATCCCTTCTAACAATAAATCTAAATCTTTAGGACTTTCTATAATTCATATAAATTAAGTTTGAATAAATTTATAATAGAAGCTTCATTCAACCATCTATGGTAATAATGGTCATGCTGATGGCTCAAATTAAATAAGTTTGATGATGCAAGTTTCCTACCTTCAACTCCATTGGGGAATGAATAAGATAGAGGTCAACATAGTCAAAATTAAGTTTTTCCAGTGATTTTTCCAAACAAGATTGGACGAGCTCTGGTCGATGAAAAGTGAACCATAGCTGCAGAGGTTAATAAAAGGAAATTGGACTGGATTAACATGTTGCCCATACTTGGAAGATTGAAACATTGAAACATTTGAAACATTGAAACATTTCACATTGAAACTCATTTTTATTTTGCTTAGATACTGTGGATCACAGGGATGATGTTCTCTTCAGGACTTGGGTTTCCATTCATCTGACTTATTTATGTAAACTGGATTATATATTTTGTTTTTTATTAGCCGATCAATTGAACTATGGAAGGAATTGCTCAAGCAATATAATTCCATCACATAACAATAATGAATTTCTGAATTGTGTTTCATAGAATTTACAAACTAATTGTTACTCTATCTCATCTATCCACTTCAAAAGATAAGAATTAATATTTTTTCTATGTATAAAACTGAAAGAAAACACATTTTGACCATTTTAATATATGCAAGACATGAATCAACACATGTTAGCTACTCCTTGTTTACTACCCATAGACTGACTGACATTGTTCTCTAAAAAATCACAAATGTAAAATGTTGATATTTAGAATGATGAGAAGATTTAGCAAATTTCCCAGGATATAATGAAACTATAATTCTTTCTAATACCACAACCAATACAAAATCATAGTGCTGATTGGAGAATCAGGAAAGTAAAGGAACTTTAATATCATAAACTTAGAGACTATGAGTAGCAATTCATAATCTTTCTCTATTATGATACTGGGTATTATATGTGAACAAATATTGTATTAATGGTCACTTCCATCAAGAATTGATCACCTAACATAATTTTCAATTCTTCATATCACATTTCAGTAATTTTTACACTATATACACAATACCTTTGAAGTATAGAATATGTCTTCTCTCTTCACAGTGCCATCTGCAATCTTGCTTCTAACAGCCAATCCTACCTCCTCTTCTACTTCGTATGAATAAGCACAATCAATATGGCGGAACCCAGCTTCTATAGCTATTTTGGTGGCCTCTGTGGTCTTACTCTTAGGAACCTAGAGGAACAAACAACACCAGAAATGACTTTGAGAATCATATTGTGAGTAGTTACTCATAACAAATGGACAATTCACTAAACAAGAAGTGTTTATATTGCAATGTTTTCTTCGGACAACTCAATTGTGTCATAAGGGACTTTGAATACCCAATTTTCTCTTCTGTAAGGATGAAAGAAATTGACAAAAAGCAATATTGAATGTCATGGGCAGAAGCAGAAACTTCACAAAACTCAACTTTGCCCGTGTATTGTGTTAGGTCTGTATTTGGAATAATGACCCCCAAATCTACTTTGTCTGGGCATGTCCTAGAAGACAAGAATCTGGCATCCAGCAAGCCTTTTCAGACACAGAAATCTGAGTACACTGACAGCCAAGGACTCCAGGAGCAACTCAAGTTCAGTGATTTTCTACAAGAAATCATAGGACACAGCACACAGGTAGAGTCATGTTATCGTTTATGTGACAAAGTCACTAAGTAATATTAATAAAGGAAAAGAGGATATGGAATGAGTATAGAAGACATACTGTGCAAGGTACTTATAAAACATCTCCCAGTGAAGACACCAAAATATACTAAATTCCACCTACAGTGAATTTTAAAATCACATGGAAAATATTTTGTACAAGAAAAGCTGTTGAGATCATTTCCTAAGGTTTTCAGTGGGGCTGTTTAAATGGATATGCTCTGCTAAGACATCTCACAGTTCCAGTCTCCCAGAGAAACGTATATACATATATATCATTCTAAAGAAAAGAGGATAGTAAAACACCATGACCCTGCATGTCCCTTTTCAAAAAAATACAGTCTAACTATGGAATAATGAGATTAAGCTTGGTCCTGTACATTCATACACATATTATCTTGAAAGACTCTGACCTTCTCTCATACATGTGGAAATGAGGGCAAGCTAATATTACCTGTGAAATGATGCTTTTTGCATGTATGCCTGGACAGTGGCTCCATGGGATGTTGATCAGATAACCAAATTAAGCAAGTTAATGCTGATGATGTCACTGCTTCCTGCAGCCCAACATATAAAACCCCTCTCTTGAGCCTACAGAATGGGAGAAAATCTTCGCCACTTGCACTGCAGATAACACATTATTTTGCAGAATATACAATGAATTTGAATATCTTAACCCCCCCAAAATCAATAAAGAGATAAAGGAAGTGAACAGACACTTCCCAAAAGAAGAGATCAAACAGTCAAAAAATACAAGAAGAAATGCTCAAAATCTTTAGTAATTAGGGAAATGGAAACACAAACCACATTGAGATTTCACCTCACTAAAGTCAGAATGGCAGCTATCAAGAATACAGGAAAAAACAACTGTTGGTGAGACTGTAGGGGGAAAGATACACTCATTCGTTTCTGGTATAACTGCAAATTGGTATAACCACTCTGGAAAGCAGTATGGAAATTCCTCAAAAAACTAAGAATGGATCAACCATTTGACCCAGTTATACCACTACTCAATATACATATATCCAGAGGAGTTAAAATCAGCATACTACAGCAAAATCAGAATACAACTGCTAAACTATGAAACCAGGCTAGATGCACTTCAACAGATGAATGGATAAAGAAAATGTAGTTTCTATACACAGTGGAATATTACATATCCATAAAGAAGAATGACTTTATGATATTTTCCAGTAAATGGATGGATCTGGAAAGTATAATGCTAAATGAAATAAGCCCATCTCAAAAAAGCAAAGGTCAAATGTTCTCTGTGATATGTGGATGTTAATACACAATAAGGAGGAAAGGATAGGGAAGAATAAAAGTTCAGGGATTAGACAACAGGGAAAGAAGAGAAGGGAGGTAGGATAGGAATTCACAATAGCTAAGTTATTAAACCAGCCTAGGTCAACAGACTAGTGGCTAAGAAAATGTGGCATATATACACAATAGAGCTTTATTCAGCCATAAAGAATGAAATTATGTCATTTGAATGTAAATGGATGGAACTAGAGAAACTCATGCTAAATGAAATAAGTCAGAATGAGAAAGTCAAGGGTAAAGTGTTTTCTCTCATTTGCAGGAGCTAGGGAAAGGTGGGGGATGGCTGGGGTTGTGGCTCAGTGGCAAAGCGCTTGCCTAGCATGTGTGAGGCACTGGGTTCGATTCTCAGCACCACATAAAAATAAACAAAGGTCCATTGACAACTAAAAATATTTTAAAAAGAAAAAGGTGGAGGAAGAAATAATAAAAAAAGGGAATTTCACAAAAACAGAAGGAAAACCAATAGAGTAAAGGAAGGGGACTGAGAGGGCTGGAGGAAAGAAGGACATGGGGAAGTATGGGGAATGAAATCTAGCAAATTATGCCATGTCCATGTTCCACAGGGAATCATCATGTGTGTATACATATAGAATGCATTATATATATAATTATAATACACTAATTAAAATAATAATTATAATACTAGAAGAGAGATCAGTAGAGTAGAGCAAGTGGATCAGGAGAAAGGAAGTGGGAAGGGTAAGGGAAGTTACCAGGGAATTAAATTAATTAAATTATGTGCATGTAAGAATACGGCAGAATGAATCCCACTATTATGTATAATTGTAATGCACTAATAAAAATAAATAATGAAATAAAAGTAAGAATCCATGAGTTCATATAGATACAAAAAATAAATAAACATGATAAGAAAAAAAAGAAAATGGAATAAAACTGACATAATTTTCCTATGTTCACATATCAAGATACCGCAATGACTCTCCACATCATGTGCATCACAAGACTGGGATCCTAATTAGATTAATATATACTACATCTTTGTATAAATATGTTGAAATAGACTCTGCTGCATGTGTAACTAAAAGGAACAAATAAAACATTCAGGTTGAAACCCCTCTGTCTGTGGTGACTGGGATAGAACTGAAGGCACTATGGAAAGGATAAGTGTTGCTCATCCAGCAAATGAGCACAGGACAAAATGTCCTGAGGGGGAGGAAGCCCTGCTTGGCAAAGCAATGTGAGGGAGGCAGGTGCTGTGGTTCAGCCTGTCACTGCTGGACCCTCCCCATGGGCATTTTTCAATAAGGACTTCTGCCTTGAATGCAGTCTCCAGGTATTTTCTCTGGTCTTTTGGCAAACTATCCAATTGCCCTGAAAAACAGGACTATGAACATGACTGCAGAATACATAAATACACTCCACTGTTTGTACCCTTTGAAGAGAACCAGCATCCTTGTGTGTTGTGGGAAAAAATCCAAGTAACCAGATGATAATATGTTCTTGAACAAAGAGCAATGTGCTGTGTCACCTCTACCCTTTGAAGAGAACCAGCATCCTTGTGTGTTGTGGGAAAAAATCCAAGTAACCAGATTGATAATATGTTCTTGAACAAAGAGCAATGTGCTGTGTCACCTCTGGCCAACAACCATCTCTCTGTATGACAGGCAGAACTAAACACTGGCTGGGGGAAAAATGTATATTCTAAGGATGTAGACTTACAAATATGAAATAATACTCCTCCTGTAGGGGTTATTCACACAAGCATCAACCGTTAAAGCTAACTCTCTATCATTTCTAGAAGATATAATAAGAGTAAAGTTGACAATTATTGCATGGTCTGCAAAATTTGGACAGTGATTTGAAAGTTCATTTATTAGAGAATAGAAAGGTAGATCAAACACATTCTTTTCTGTTTTAAAAATTTCGAAAGTTTCTTTTTTCCATGCAATCAAAAAAAAAATGCCATACTGCATCCTACCACCACCCTCTGCTGATACTATCCCTGAATTTCTTATGTGTAAGGGCACTTGGAGCAGGGCTGAAGCCCTGGTGAAACCATTCATGCCCCTTTTCCCTACAATGTAACCAAGTCCTGCCACAGTCTTAAAATTGCTCTCTGGATGTTTCCTTAAGTCTTACAGAAGGAAAAAGTTTAAATTCAAACTTTAGGGAATTGATCTCTTGTCACACAATTAAGTGGTCAGAGAATGATATTGGGATACAAAACTGTTCCAGTCTAGTAAACTTAGCTTGATCTACTTCAGAGGGTCATCTATCAATACAAAACATGTGAACAATGACCAATAATTCACAAATACCCTTGTTAAGTCCCAGTTTGACTTATACAGGATGTTATACATTCAGGTAAATTTCCCACAGTTGAGAGCACATGAAAAATTCTACTAAGCCAAGATCCAACATTTTCTGTGAAATGCCAAAGGCTATCTCACAGTGGAAAGGAAGTATTCCCCATCAATGATTCTATGCTTCTCATCTCAAGTGCCTTTTGCTGCACAAATGTCTCTGGATCTTGTCTGTTTAGAAGACTGAAAAAAATCCCAAAGTATAGAAATAAACAGAAACCAGTACCTGTGAAAACCAAGTGCTGACATTCATGTTTCTACTAAATTGTTTCAATACACTGGCATTTGGTAGGTGGGAGGACATGAGTGCCTGGAATACTCAATGGGTGACCCTACCATCAGACAGTGAAGTAGAGCAATGTCTGAGCACTGTCTCTCCTGCACATGGAATACCTCTCGCCTGGAGAAATAGAGAACCACTTTAGCCCCCTCCCACTGAGTGTTATATACAAACCAAGTAACTTGACAACCCAGATTGGATTCCATTCATCCTGTGTCTACTTTCTTTTGAACCCTCAACCCAACCCCTTATTGTTACCTCTTCAGGTTTAACAGTGCCAAAGCCCAGCCTAGGAATGAAGTGACCATCATTGAGCTCCACATACTGATGTTTGGAATTCATTGCCTGTGACTCCTCAGACTGAGTAGGTTCTGCTGCTTTCTTCTACCTTCTAGTATACTAAATAATTGGATTTCACAACTCCATCTGCTTATCTAAAGGTTGACCAATTTACTTGCTGTCTAATGATTAGACAATATTTTACAGGAGGAGTGGAGTTAAAGCAATATTTCACATGTGAGAGGAGAATTAGAACCAGTTCACTAATTTAATATGGAAAATATCTTAAGCAATTTACTACACAATGATAAAAAAAAGTGTTTGTTCTTAGTAAGTTTTCTGATTACCAAATTTTTATGAATAATTTAAGAGATTGATAACTTATTGGCCAATTTTTAAGCTAAAAACCTCAGATCCGTCTTCTTTTGTTAGGTTTGGTATTGGAATTTGTTGTTGTTTTTCATGATGACACCACTTCTTGATCATACACTATTAGAAATGATGAACTACCATACACCATGCACACAAACACAAAGCATTTTCTAAAAAGGATTATTAGTATTTTGAGGGGGTATCAGAAAAACAATCAAATGTTAAAATGAACAAAAGTTACCCTTTTTAATTTTCTCAGAGTTAAAATATTTGCCATAATTAGACAACCATGTCCCAAGAGGATGCAGACCAGACAAATGTCCTCACTGTGACATTCTTCTCAGTGGAAGACAAATTATTACAGCCACAGAAAGTTATTTTGCAATAGGCAATCAGAGAGTAACATTTATTATAGCTTTTACCTTTAAGGTAACTTTGAGAAAACTATCAAGAAGTAAGATGCAAAATTAAGACATTTTATATTTTTATAGACTTGTTCAACATTATTGATAAAAGTAAAAAATGGATCTATATATGTGGTAAAAATGGGAGTTTATAACCCACTTGAATCAAATGTATGAAATATGATATGTCAAGAGCTTTGTAATGTTTTGAACAACCTATAAAAACATTTTTTTTAAAAAATGGAAAAATCTTAAATTATTGCAAATTTTGGAATAGTGTAGACATTGATGCACTGATGAAATGGAATATTTGAAGCAATTAAAAGTCAAACATGAATGTTTATTAATAAAAAATATTAAATAAAGGTATAAGGAAGGGTTTTTAATTAAGTTACAAGACAAGGGAATATATTATAATCAACAACATATTATGTTCCTAAAAGATTCATGATATAAAAGGAAAGACTATGAACTGTATTTATTCTTTTTGAATAATGAGACTAGGATTGAACTCTTACATAGTTTTTAATCACCTAGATGTTTTTATTCATTTTATAATTTGAAAAAAAAGTGTTTATTATATAAATTGAAAATCTCTGCACACTACACAGATATTATTTTCTTGTGGTTTTGATTTTGTTAAGATGAAGCCCTCTCTCAATCACACAGTATTTGAAGCAATGAACTATCTTACCCAACACAAACACACACACACACACACACACACACACACACACACACACACGGAATTTTAAAGGACTGCTGAGTTTAAATTTTGACACCCTCCCACAAAAAGAATCAAATTAAAATTGAAAAAAATACTTTTTATCTTTCTCATTGGCAAAATATTTTCTGAATCTTCTTATTTTGCTTTCAATGAAAATGTGCATTGCTGATAAATGTGCAATCATAAGAAGTGTGCACCAAAAGAGGTGGTAAGTCACACTGCTTAGTGAAGGAAAAATGAATGACAGCTCTAAAAAATTATTTCACAATATGCTACTGAACCCTTAGGGTGCTTCTGAAATGTGGGACTCTGAGTGATTGCTAAATCTTCTGTATGTATTTTAGTTCCCTACAATAAATATTTCATTTTTGTAGTCTAAGAAAAGTGTTTGTTTAGACAAGGTGACAAGTTCTGACTATGAAAATTAAACAGAAAGGAATTCCTGCCAGATATCCAGATCTGTAAACTCTCTCTCAGACTGCTTTTGCTCAGTGCCACAAACATCACTGAGAGCCCTAAGTCTTTTCTGCTGTTTCTCCATTTACTATTAAAATTCTGCCTACTCTTCCTGTGAATACAAACTTGGGTTATGGTGTCTCCTGACTTTATCTTGGTTGCATTTCCTGGACATTGTCTCCATCTCTTATCTCTCTGAGATAAGAATGTCTGCACTGATCCTGGCTCCAGATAGTCTACTTGCACATGGTACCATGATCTCTCCCTGCATGTCCTGGACACAGGGCCAGCACACCTTTGCTCCACAACCAGAAACCTCACTAGCCAACAACCTCACCAAAATTCCGTGCAGAACTCTGCTTCTTTATAGAGTCTTGGGGTTCATTGAAAAATCGAAGACTAATTTAAAACACAGAAAAAGTGAAATGATCAGATTACAACAGGAATAAAAATAGTATGGCCATATATAAACATTCATATCACATCCCACAGATTCTCAGATGATAAATTCTAATGAGAAATTCAGTGTCTAAAATATATGCAAACAATCCTCCATTGAGAGAAATTTTACCATATCCTGTAACAAATGATGGTGCCATTAAATCTGAGAGCTAACAGAGTTAGTTATTCCCACATTATATACAAAAATTTGCATCCATACATTCAGGTAAGATGTAAACCCAGCTCTTTATTTTGTTATAAGCAATTATATTGAGACTATTGCAACTTTGATAACATTGGGCAAATATTAGGTGAAGAATCTACCATCTTAAAGATTAGAGCTAAGACCAGTCCCTGTTTGTTTCCACTGAGACACACTCTTCCCAAATTGTGTGATCCCTTGAGTTTGGCTTGCTGTTTTCATTGATGATGATCAGCCCAGCTGTTTAACAAGGGCTCCAAGTGGAAAAGAGATGGCTCCTACCTTAGGATTTCAATATCTAATGGGGAATATAGAAAAGCAAAATATCAAAAGAGGCTTATCACAATTTGCCTGAAATGGTAAGGACTATTTCTTCTTCTCCAGATTATGGAAATTTTGTGTTAGAAATTTAAATATCCAGGCGAAGGAATCAACATGGCTGCGGACGGGCAGGCAGCGCTTCCATTACCTCCTCAGCCATGGGGACAGAGAGACACATCAGAACGTTTCAATTCTTCATGCTGAGAAACTCCCAGCAAAATTCCGCTGAAGTGAGACCTAGGCAGGGAGTTTGGGATTATTGGAGGTGACAGTTTGTCCTGGTACGGGTGAATCTCGGCCACCCTGCGCGTGGAGGTGCAGGTCACTGCTGTCTGGTGACTTGCCCCAGACGGAGGTGTTTCAGCATGGCCGGAGACCATAAGTGGCATAGAGAAATGAAGAGTTGGATCCCTTGAAGTGGTTGCTAACCAAGCCCCCATGAAACAGCAGACCGAGAACTGAAACCCAGACCAGGACAGACCAGAGACAGGCCAGACCCACCCCTGCCATCTGACAACCCGGCAAGGAGTTTGGATCCCACCATAGCAGAGAGCTGACGTCATCAGAGTTCGGCAGACAGGTTCCCTTCCCAGCAGAATTGGCTTTAGCAGGTGTGTGACTCCCATCCCCACCAGATGCATACAGCTGGGAAACCTCAAAAATCTTGCCCCAGAGCTCTGTGGGCGTGACTGTAGGGGCCAAGGGAAGCAGAGGGGACTCCTGACCTCCAACTCCCCCTACCACCAGTCAAGGCCCTTGCCGCCAGCTCCTAGGGGCGTGGCCACTGAAGGAGACCAGGTAAAATAAGCTGACGGTTCCCAGATCACCGGCTCCACAACCTTGGGGTGTGGGTGAATGGCAAACAGAGAGAGTGCTCAGTCGTCCAGGAGAACAGGGCACTCAGGGGGCTGCAAGTGTAACTATATCTGAGGAGATCGCCTCCGGTGAGCAGGGCCTGGCTGGCTGGCAGGAGGAAGGGGGGAAAGGGCCTGAGAAGAGAAATGGCCCTGGGCTAACAGGATTGGAGAGCCACCCAGTAGGGGAAAAGGAGCCACCTTATAGAGATTGCTTCCAGCATATAGAGGGCAGAAGCTCGGCTCAGAGGGCACAGCTCCACCTACTGGAAGAGAAGAAAATAGAACTCTAAGACTGCATTTATCATTTTTTTTCTTTTTTCCCTTTTCAATTTTTATTGATATTTCTATTCTCCTGTATTCTATCTATTTCTCTCTCCCTCTGTCTCTTTAAGGACTTCTTCCTTCCTCTTACCCCTAAATTTCATCCCAAGCATTATGACTTTCATTACGTGTAATTTTCTAAATGCAAATAGGTGAATGTTCCAAGGCTGTCTATAGTGCTCCTAAGTTCCTAGCTATTACCTAATACCCTAAACGATTCACCTGTTAATATTCCACTTCAGTAGAGCAAACTTCCAAAGTAGCCAAGGCATACTAACCTTTGTTCCATCATAGCACCCCACCTAAACATGAAGTCCTAAGACCAAGCAACAGATCCCTAAATGCCAACAGAATCCATAAGCCCTTTAGAAAATGAATGAATCTGCTTTAAAATACAATAAGGCCCAACATATCTATACATAGTCTCTCACCACAAAGGAGAGACCACAGAGATACACAAAACCAAAACAAATTTATAGGAGAAAACAGAAACACAGCAATCAAACAGAGTTGGAAAGTAACGCGAACACCATGAAAAAAAACAAGGGAAAAAGGATTAAAAACAATGCAGGACAACATAAATTTACAAGAGAACCTAGAGGCATCAGAAAAATGGACAGATAAAGAACTCAAGGCATACTTGACTCAGATGGAATGGAATCTTAAAGAAGTCATTAGAAAGCAAGTCCAAACAATGAAAGAATACTTTGAAAATGAATTACATAAACAGATTCAAGAAGCAAAAAATCAA